AGTTAATGAACAGCCCCTTAATGGCTCACGGGGGTTTCCCATCTTTGAAAATATAACAATAGGAAATAACTAATTCTTTGGATATACGATAAAGAAGGGAATATTCCCTTCTTTTAATACATAAAAAAGAACATAATCAATTCGTTAAATATATGATAAAGAAGGGAATATTCTCTTCTTTGAAAATATAGCAAAAGGAAATAATTAATTATTGGATAAACGATAAACAAGGGAATATTCCTTTCTTTGAATATATAAAAGAGAAAATGATTAATTCTTTGGATGTATGATAAAGAAGGGAATATTCCCTTCTTTTAATATATAAGGAAAATATGTAATCAATAGCTTTTGGCAAGGGATTCGGGGTAATGACCATTTGGGATAATAACGTGTGTAATAATGTTATAAATTTGTAATTAATAAAGGGTGTCCACGATGAAATTGCCACACTATGAAATTGCTCTAACTTTTTAACCGTTGGGTAGAATTTAATGAATATTTGGGTGGATTTAGTTCATAGTGCATTATTTACATCCTGCAAAGTCCTGTGATCAAAACTCGCGGAAATGGAGTCGAAAGAACAGCTCGTGCGTGATAAAATCTTGCGCATTCATCACGAGAACAAGGATCTCTCGCATCGTTCCATCGCTAAAACGTTGGGAATCGCGAATTCCACGGTGTCGTGAGTGATTAAGCGGTTCGAGGAACGGTTGACCACCGATCGGAAGCCCAGAAGTGAAGGAAAAAGTATTCCGTACAACAACAAAAATCACAACCGCGTAGTTGGGGCCTTCAACCGAAATCCGAACGCCTCCGTTAGGGATGTGGCTAAGAAGCTGCACCTAAGCCGAAGTTTTGTCCAGAAGGCCAAAACTAAGGCTGGGCTTCGAACGTTCAAGGTACAAAAGGCCCCTAATCGCGACGAGAAGCAGAACAAGTCCACCAAAACCCGTGCCAGGAAGTTGTACCTCAACATGCTGACGAAAGTTGAATGCTGCATCATGGACGACGAAACATATGTGAAGGCCGACTTCAAACAGATCCCCGGCAACCTGTTTTTCACGGCCAAGGATAAGTTCAGCGTTCCGGAGCATGTCCGCACTCAGAAGATGTCCAAATTTGCGAAGAAATTCCTGGTTTGGCAAGCCATCTGCACGTGCGGGAAGCGGAGTGCACCTTTCGTGACCCAGGACACGATGAACGGACAGGTGTACATAAATGAGTGCCTCCAGAAGCGGCTGCTTCCTCTCCTGAAGGCCCACAACGTCCCAACAATCTTCTGGCCGGATTTGGCCTCATGCCACTACTCCAAGGACGTGCTGAAGTGGTATGCGGACAATAAGGTCAATTTCGTGCCGAAAATGTTCAACCCTCCCAACACTCCGGAGCTCCGCCCCATCGAGAAGTACTGGGCGATTATGAAGCAGCACCTTCTTAAACGACCTAAGGTAGTTAAGACAGTCGAGGAACTGAAGAAAGTATGGGTTTACATGCAAAAAACGGTTGATTCACAGGTTGTGCAGAATCTTATGGCCGGGGTTAAGGCCAAGGTGCGGGCATTTGCGTATGGACTGTAAATAAAATACGAGTAAAATGGTAAAATGAAGTTTAATAGTTATTTCTCAATCCCTGAAAATTTGATGGCAATCGGATGAAAACTCGAATTTTGCGAATCAATTTTGTGTGTGGCAATTTCATCGTGGACACCCTTTAGTTCAACGTTCCTTGCACCGATTTTTCAATCCATAACGAGAAATTCTTCAACTCAGGTCGAACAGTTCTTTGATAAGGTTTAACAGTTTCCGACTAGTTGAATTGGATTGCATATAAGACCCTTTGACTTTTTAAATGGTGAACGAAGTGCTCGAAAACTTGAAGGTTGTCATTTTCTAAAGAGCTTTAAAATGGTTTGGAATTGATAAATACATAGTTCCATAAAAGTAACCGTAGTGTATCATCAATTTAGTAAAGTGAAACGAATCAGAGAGTTTAATCATGAAAAATATATTAAATCAAATGTGTAAAATTTATCGAGAAAATTTGTATTCAGAAGATGTATTATTCAGTGGGCAAGATACTTGCGGACCTGTATATTTATGAACACCTTACATTAGAATTAATGCTAGGAGAGTTTAAATTCCATTTAAACACTCCTAGAAATGCTCTTAAGATTATCACTGGAATGGCCTTGGAATACACTTAAGAATTCCTAATTATTTCCTTTGAATTTATCGGAAAATTTTGAAGGATCTTTCCTCGAAGTTCAATTCTCTTGAAATTTTCTTCGGAATTCCTTTGAAACTTACCTCAGAATTCCTTACAGTTTTCAATGAATTGTTTTCATAATTTCCTTTACATTATATTTCTTCCTTTGTTATTCTACTCACAACTCCCTTGGAATCCTTCTTAGTATTCACCTGCAACACAACACAACAGAGTTATAACATGTTATTAGGCTATCTTGATGACCTCTTTCTAGTTGATAATTATTGTAACACCCTTGAAACATGTTATAACTGTGTCATCTAAACAAGGCAGTTTAAAGCTCTCCTCCGAATTCCTTTGAAGTTCTCCTGGAGTTCTTCTTGCAATCGTAATATTCCTTAACATACCCTATCGTAGGCGTGATAATGTTTGCACTATTAAGCCTTGTAAAAAAACTATAAGGGTCAGCACTATGGGGTTGTGCGCAATGGTGACGTAGGATTACGTGGTCTTATATAATAAATGTTATTTGTTAACTGCATCAGGTGCTTGTATTTTGTGTAGGAATAGGAATTTGAGCGGGGTTCTCTCTGTACTTTTTAGTATGACTATGATTGCCCTGAAAAGAACCTTTTGATATGAATTTTAGTTGGAACATGTTCAGAAATTTAACTCTCTGTATCTTGGTGGCCCTGAAAAGCATTTGAAAGATGATGATGACGTGTAGGCAGCTGGATCAGCAAATCGAACCGGACAATCCCATATTCTTCGGTTCAATGATTGGGCACTTGCAAGAGTCGCGGCCCGTCTGATGTAGGACAGGGGTTGAACTGGTGTCTGCGACAGGTTGGAAGGCGGCAGAATATCAGTGTCCACCAAGCTAAAGCTCCTCCCCTTTTTAGTTTTTCTCTTGAACTGGTGTCTGCGACAGGTTGGAAGGCGGCAGAATATCAGTGTCCACCAAGCTAAAGCTCCTCCCCTTTTTAGTTTTTCTCGTTAAACTCCTTCTCTCAATAAGTTGGTAAATCTTAGCCCTTTAGTAGAAACACGCTCAAAGTGACATCGAAAGAAGTCATTGTTTACAAAAGCTGTTACGTCCTAATTCCAGCTCTATCTTGATATGGGAACTGACATCCGATTGATGACCTTGACAAATGTCCAAAAAATACTCTGAGTAATGCTGAGCTATTAGGGTGTTAAATACAGATGAGGCTGGTGAGCTGTATGTTGTTTGGAATGAGGGTGACGCGCAGTGTTGGAAAAGTTCACGATATTTCACGAAGTTCACCAAGGGAAAAAATCGTGAGTAATAGTGATTTTTTGCGAACTTTTCCATCACTGGTTACGCGCTTGGCATAGATGTCCCACAGCGACTCACGAAGAGCTACTGATTCCGATCAATAGCGGTACGGCTTCTTCCTCCTTCTATGGATGCTCATGTGGGCTGCAGATCGCTGCTTGCAGGCAGCCTTTCGTTGTGTACTGGAGAACAATGTTCAACGCCACGCGCCGAAAGCACTGCTGCTGCTGCTGCTGCTGCTGATGTCAACGACCGGACACCAAAACACACGGTGATTGGAATTGCATCCGATCAGCGGTTGAGGGCTGCCTTGATAGCTAGCTGCTTGCGGGGAGCCTTTCGTTGTGTACTGGAGAACACCACCACTCACCACGCGGTGATTGAATAAACATCGTTTGGTGAGACCGAATCGAATTCAACTTTGAACCCTGTGTTAGGGAAATCGCTTTTCCCAGGCAATCGGTGATAATTTTAATTATCATAGCAACAGTTGCACATTCGTGCAATTTTCAATAGTGACATTTTGAAAAATGATAATATCTTAAATTAAGCATATGCGTAGAAATATTTCTGATCGATTGGTAATAAAATCATTGAAATTGGTAAAGGGGCAGCTGAGTTATTAACGTTCAAAGTCTTTCATAAATTCGTTACATGTTCCATTTTTGGTTTTCACAAAGTGTACCCCCATATAGAAATCACAGACGTAGTTCTACGTAAAAAAAATGAAATTTTCGGAGTGGCAAAAATAATTTATTCGAATAGAATATGTTTGTAAGAGCTTAAAAATATGTTGCCGCAATTACGGTCTCAACACGCTCCCGGAATGCTCGACAGGTTCTGATAATATAGTCCGGATCCATATATCTCCAGGCGCAGGTCAATGTTTGTCTGAGGCTTGCTGTACTGGCGTGGTGATTGGCACAGACATTGGCCTTCATGACGCGCCACACTTAATAATCCAAGGGGTTAAGATCGGGACGGGATGACGGCCACGTATTTTATGGCCAGAAAAGTAGATGTTCCTTCAACGTGTGGTTATAGGTTCGGCTCCGATCCATATTGCTCAGTAATTCACGGAAGGACATACTTACTAAGAATGCCGATATACTCCTCCGTTTTCAATTTATCCCCTCCAGGAATGGTGCAAACATTATCACGCGTATGGTAACCCTAAATTTTCTCCGAAAATTATGATGAAATATGCTGCATTCCTTTTCTATGCGCCCAAAAATTACTTAAAATTCTTCTCAAAAAGAGGTACTTTATTTTTACTATAGTTTGCGGATGCATTACCTGGATGGATACCTTAGTTTTTGGTAATATAGATACCATTTGTGGTCAGTATTCTTAGTAAACAAAAATCAGGCAGCTAGGACTTGGGAAAACGAATACCGACTAAAACTCCATCCGCAAACAACGGTACCTCTCTGTATGTTAATTCTTAATTGTCGTTGCTCTGAACTAATATCAGCTCTCTTATTCCTATTTTCAGATATCGTTCAATAACTCTCAGGAATGGAGCTCTACAACGGGTAAGTCCATTTCCGATCCAATCACAAAGTTCACCCACCTTTGTAACAAATTACTTTTCATCTCACCAGAATCCCGCTCCAAATCGTCCAAGGCACCCGCCTGGAACTGGAACCAACTGCAGGAAGCGATCACCGCCGTCGTCACCCAGCGACTACGTTTTACGCAAGCCAGCGCCCAGTACAACATCCCCAAAGGAACGCTTTACGACAACATTCTCGGCAAGGCTCACCGGATGGCCGTCCTGCAGGAGCTGGCCCTCAATCCCGACGAGGAAGCAGCCGTGTTGAACTTCTGCTGCGACACTGCAACTTCACCGTACAATAAACGAACGAAGCGATCGCTGAGTAGCATACTGGAGTTTGTGAGCCATTTCCAGAGCTATCGGGAGAAGGGTGACCGCTTCAAGTTTGGCGGAAAGCCCGGCTTTCGGTGGTGGTGGGCCTTCTGTCGGAAGCACTCGATCGTTTCGCTGTACTACGAAGGACTAAAACTAACCGACGACCATGATTCGATCATGACAGGCGGCAAGAAAGGCCGGAAGAGTGCCGAATTTGACGGTATGGAAGCGCTATGAATGCTCGGATGTGGTGTGGTCTGATTTGAGCTGCTCGTGCCTTTCAGCAATTGATTTGTGATTTTAACATTCTCGTTAATTTTGTAGGATTATGAAACCGAAACTCAAATAGGTAAGATTGTAATTAGACGATAATCTAGCTAGATTGTAGTTTTTTTTTTCCTACCCTTCGAACTGCCAATACTGACCGACAATTCTCCTCCTCGCCCTCAAACCCAGGAGAACCGACAACCGAGAACGAGAGAACCGGTTTTGGCTTTCAATCAAAATTTGCATCCAGTTGATCTTTTTTCGATTAAACTAAAATGCAGTTCACCTCCCCCAACCCGCCCGTCCCTAGTTGTGCCCCGTCCCACTTCAGTCTTGTCTCGGCTCGGCTCGGCTCAATTTATCCGCATTATTAATGCAAGGTGATGGACGGTAATCGACATTTTATTTCATATTGATTGTCACATTGCGACTGAAATCCCAAGCATCGTTTTAATTGCTAATGTGCCAATGCTTTCACTTTGCTGCCGCTGCTGCCGCCGTTTCTCTTGCTTTCACTTTCGGGTGGGGCGGAAGAAGGTCGGCAGGAGTCCGGAAGGCATCGATAAATTTGGGCAATTTAAAGTCCATATGAACAAACGAGACGGCAAGTGTGCAATATTCCATGTTTGGTACTAGCTAGCGTGCTGGGCCAGGTTATGAGCAGTGGTGTGTGCAGGTTCGATTGAAATAAATGAGCCTTGCTAATGGTATATAAAGGTCCTGTATCATCTCCGTAGGTCCGCTCCCGCTTCTTAATCCAATGGCATGACCACTCCCCCCATTGAAGAAACCCTATACTCGGCCTGAACAGTGCCCAAAAGTACACCGTCCAGGCTCTTCGTGTCTCCATTCATCCAATAACGATATTGGAATTGGCTTTCCCAGCGTTATTATTATGCATTATGCTTTTAAATTAAGCTTCGTATCGCGGCTGCATCTTTCAGCTGTGGTTGTGAGAAGTGCATTTTTTATATGTAGGATGGACTTCGAACACAGGGCTTCCCAGAACAGAATGGTAAAAAGTAAAACGGCAACATTCCCCCCTCCCCCCAGGCGCCTCCATCTTTTCTGTAAATATGTAAATTGAGCTGATCAATCATAAACCATTGGCTAATTATCGCCGCCTCGTTTGCCAACACCGATACCCCTTCGGTTGACAACCGCGTGTCCCAAAGTCCTGGAACACATGTCAGTTCATTGATGCCTATCACGGCAGCGGCGGTAGCGTTAGCATATCCCCCCCTGTATGCAGTTTTCCCGGCCGCGAGCGGTGGTTGATTGTCATCATCACTATGCACACACTGACTGACTGGCTGGTTGGCTGGCTGCCTGCCTGCAGCAGGTCAAATGACGCTGGGCGGCAACGACGATGACGACGACGACGACGATGAGTGGTGTGGTGAAGCGTCACTCCATTGAATCACTTAGAACAAGCTGGGGCCGGGCTTTATGCCCAAAATTTCCACGCGAGGTGGACCGGTTAGCGGGATTATTGACCACGTGTATGCGCTACTCCTCCGCCGCTGCCGCCGCACTATTTAGAGCCCACGTGATGTTGGAACGTGGCACGAGGTATCGAGGTGGGATGCGATTTTTGATGCATAAATTCAGATCATGGCTGAATGACACCAGGGCATAAAGAGCGGAAGGGTTGGAGGGTGCTGAATGATGATGGTGCGAGGTAACGCTACATTAAGCAGTTCATTATGTAGGTACTCAACTCATCGGCGCGATATCGATGGCAGCTCGTCTATGTAGTTAGCAGCAGCAGCAGCAGCAGCACAAACAGGTGAGCAACAGCTTTCGGAGCAATTCACACCGGTGATTAATGCATTCGTGGGAATTAATAAACAATCAGTGCGGTTTTGATCGTGGCTTTTGATGATGGCTTTGGAAATGTAGCAACGGGTTTTCAGCAGAAATTCTGGGAAATTAAAGCGGCTGCTAAAGCTACGTTGAACTGGACTCGATGATAGGATTTGCTTTGGAATGGCGATGGACAATTCGAGTTTTTCAACCAAGGGATAGTGGTTTTCAGGATTATCAAGGGATCAGGTAATGGATGCTGGAAAGGTCCAGAAAATACGGCTCTGTAAAGCTAACACGATTGAGACTTCCAAACAAACTAACTAGATAAAATATGGCCCAGGTAAATACTAGAGAATGGGGGTTATTCCGAGAGTCGAAGTGACTTCTGCCACTAGTAAAGTGGCTTAAGTCACTTCGACTTTCGGAATAACTCCCACTGTCATTGATTTCAGATTAAATCTTGAGTATCTGGTTCCAGACACATGTCTAACAAAGCCAACATGGTAAACTTGAAGGCTCAATCGAACAGTCAAGGAAATTTGAGGAAAGCGTAGAACACCTCAATCATGTTACTCAACCACGCAAGTATCCTGAGCTTATCCATGGATGGAGCCAACGTGAAAGACTTCCATCCTGGATGGCTTTGTGATTTTGCCTTGATCTGGGCTCAGGTCAAACTATTGCATGATTTGCTTATCAAGGCCCCGCCACCTCTGCTGCAATGCTTTGCTAGGTTCCAATGCAGCGCTTGGTTGCAGATTCATTTCAGAGCCATCTTCGCTTCAGTTCTCGAATTTCTGTCGATAAAGGCTTTTTATGACATCGACGATAGGACTGATCATTCGAGATCCAGTTGTGAGGCCACCTGCAAATTTTGAGTGATTTGTTTTGCTGGCGTATAACAAACTATATTTCACATTTGAATTAAAAGTTCGAATTGTGGAAGGGGAAAAGTTGGCTTCGGCAATACCTTAACCTATTATCGTCAGGGAGGTAAACAACGTCGTTGAGAGCTCAATTTTGGCATGTGGATACATTGTGTTTCAGAGAAACTATTGGCCAAATTTGAGTGCTCTAGGACGCCCCTGACGATAATAGGTTAAGGTATTGCCGAAGCCAACTTTTCCACTACGTTGACTAGTCTGGTTAGATCTCCAAATATTTCAATCTGTGCACCTTTGTCGCTCTTCGTTCCGTCAGATCTCCCTTCTTTGACAGAGACCCCCTGCATTCAATCGACCGGAAAAGTCACGGTGTTCCAGAACACGGGGTCAGCATTGAGCAACTCTGCCGAAGTACGATTGACGCCCGGGATTCTTGTTGGATTTCATGCTTAGGATAACTGCTTCTATCTTCTGCAATGATGGAACTTCGAAGCTGAAGTGAGTGATGCGGATCATGCCCAGATGTTGACGGCTGATTGGTCGTCAAAACTTGAAGAAGTTGTAACGTTTCAGCTGGTTAGCAACAGTCCAGTCACGTCTTTCACAGGCATCCTTGAGTTCATCCAGAAGTCGAATATTACCAGTTGTTGCGGCTTTCTCCCCTTTGAGCCAGAGAGTCCACCCACGCTCGGTTGTACCGTCTGCAGGATCGCTTTACTTTTTTTTCTCAATAGCCGAGTACCGTTGTCGGATTTCGTTCTTGGTACCTCTGCACCAGGGATGCCTGGTGTATTCAGAAGAAAAAAATCAACGAGCTCGATGAAATGTCTTTGTCATATGTAGCTAAAATCATTTACGCCACTGTAAGAATTGAAATTACTAAATTTGCCGATAAGACAGAAAAATGCATATCATGCAGTTGCACTCACGTCAGTAGCGTTCACTTCTTCATAGCCTTGCCAAACAGAATTATTAATTTACCTTTCCTACACCCAGAACAGCGAACCCGAATGCGCGGATCATGTTACATCTTTCAATACGCTAATAGCCTAGCAAGCACATTGACATCAATGAAACAAACATAGAATTGTCACACCGTTATAGGCATCTCACTTTGCCTACAGTAATTAAATATAAATCACATCATGCCAATGCAACAAATTGTAAAATGTATTATGACAATAACTCCGTATATAAACCCAAGCAGTTGATTAATAAAGCCAGATACTTTCGATCAAAGAATCACTTTGGATTGCGATCCTCTCCTGCCCAACTTGGGATACACAGGTTTGGACACCGCTAAACGGAAAAGAAATTCCCCAAGGTTCTGCGATCCTCTTCTGCCCTCTGGTATAAACAGATGAGGACACCGCATCCATTCCTTGATTATGCCGCGAGCCTGCATACTTGTAAAAAGGCATAGTCTTCACCGCTCTTTTTCAAATTTGAGAGCGTGAGAGGGTGTTCGATATTTAAGGTTTTTAAAACTGAGTTTTTAAGGCGTTCAGAGAAATTCTCAGAAGTCAAAGAAAATATGATAAGACAACATCATTTGAGTTCAAAGAACTTCATAAACGTTCAGGGAACATCGTAGAAATTCGCGGAAGCTCATAAAAGTTCAAAGAACGTTGCAAAAATTCAAGTAACTATGTAGATCTTCATGAAACTTCGTAGAGTTTTAGGGAGCTTCAAAGAAGTTCAGGGAACTGCATAGTAGCTCATCATACTTCTAGATGGTCAGCAAACTTTGTACAAGCTCAGAGAATTTTATAGTAGTTCAGTAAACTTTGTAGAACTGCAGAGAACTTTTGAGAGGTTCAGAAAATTTTGTAGACATTTAGCGAGCTTTGGATTTTTTTTTTTAATTTCGTAGAAATTCTGGGAACTTCGTTTTAAGGTTTTCGTAGATGTTCAGGAAATATATCATAGGAAATCAGAAAACTTCTCAAAGCTTCAGAAAACATCAGATTTGTTGACGTTCAGGGACTTCGTAGATGTTCACGGAACATAATAGATGTACAGGAAACTTTCTCAAAATTCGGGGAACTTCGTAAAGCTTTAGAAAACTTCAAAAAAACTAAGGGAAAGTTGTAAAAATTAAGCAAACTTTGAAAAATTAGGGAAAAATTCGTAAAAGCAACTTTGCACAAGTTTGGGAAGCTTCATTAAAGTTAAGTGTCTTTATTTTAATTTCAAGGAACTTCATAAACATTTGGAACTTCTTTAACTTCACGGTACTTTGTTGTTATATAAGTTCAATAACTTGAAATAGATTAGTGAATTCCGTAAAAGTTAGGGAAATTTCGTAAAACTTCGCAGGAAACCATCAATTATCTTAGAATTAGAATTAGAATTCAGGGCGGTTTGTAAAAATGCTAAAAACTTTTTGATTTTTTTTGTTAAGGTTTTTAACCGGGTTATG